TGCAGTCCCGCTCCAGAACACGCTCACCCTGCAGTTCCTGCTCCGGCATCTGGGGAAGGTATCACAGCAGGCCGAGAGCAACAACCTTCACCCTCGGGCCCTGGGAGAGATCTTCGGCCCCCTTCTCCTCCGGCTGCCTGGCGCCAGGTACGTGAGGCTTTTGAGTTCCAGCCATGTACGGAGTGTTGGCCGCTGTGCCTGCCAGGATGAGGAGTCCAGCCCGTAACAGCAGGTCTGCCCACGGCCCCTGCCTGGCTGCGCGTGGGATTAAACTGCTGGCAGCAGGCAGAGCTGGGACTCAAAGCCAGGGCAGAGGCTTTGCTTCTGTGTCCTGGCAGCTGGGATGAACCAGCTGACCCTGGCTGCCCCTTTCCCCGGGGAACGTGGGAGTGGCACCAAGTTCTCCCCCTACAACCACTGTTTTCACTTGGTTCCTCTCTCCCTACAGCCCAGAGATGAGCCCTGACTTCTCCGTGCTGTTTTTAGAGATGCTTCTGCAGACAAAGGAGTTGGAGCCGGAACAGTTGCCTCCAGGTACTGAGATGCCCCTTCCCTCCCGCCAGGGCCCAAGGTGCTGGCGTTTGTGCTTCATGGGTGTGGAGTCTCTGCTCCTGTGAGCCGGTTGCCGATGGCGTTTCTGTAGCCCAGCTGGAGACCAGCTTGAGGCGTTTGTTTGCTGCCACAGATGTGCCTGGAGCAGCTCCTGGCAGCGTGGTGGCCAAAGGGGCTTCCCAGGAGTCGCTGCAGGGAGAGGGACTCAGCACTTCAAGAGATTGCCTCTGGGGAGCTGGGGCTCGAGCTCACCCTGCTTCAACCCTCTTTCTCTTACAGCCTTGCCTCCAAAACCTCCTAAGCCAAAGCCCAGCGCGGCCAGCTTGGCCAACGGGAACAGCGTGCCCTTGCAGGACGCTGAGTGGTACTGGGGTGACATTTCCAGGTAAGAGGGTGGCAGGCAGCTCACGTCCTGAGTGCCCTGTCCATCAAGTCATCTGGGAGAACTCTGATTGCACCTCACAGACCATGACAATCGTGTTCCTCACAGGGAGGAGGTGAACGAGAAGCTGCGGGACACGCCAGACGGTACCTTCTTGGTGCGCGATGCCTCCAGCAAGATCCAGGGAGAGTACACGCTCACGCTCAGGTAGGAGTGGCGGAGCTCCCCAAAAGCCTCTGCTGTACTTGGGGTGAGCTCTCAGCACATGTCCCCATGCTACAGCTGCCTGGACACCCCAACAAGAGGCTGGTGTAGGGTGCTGGGGTGGTGATGTGCCCTCTCCTCTCCCCTCCCCGCTGCAGGAAGGGAGGCAATAACAAGCTGATCAAGGTCTTTCACCGGGAAGGCAAGTACGGCTTCTCAGAGCCCCTGACGTTTGGCTCAGTCGTGGAGCTCATCACCCATTACCGGCACGAGTCGCTCGCCCAGTACAACGCCAAGCTGGACACCAGGCTGCTCTACCCCATCTCCAAGTACCAGCAGGTGAGGCATGTGCTGCAGGGACGTGACTGAACCAGGGGCGTTTGCTCATTTGTGCCCAGCCCTGCGGTAGATGGCAATGTCCCACCCCTTTGGACATTGCTTTGGGGGGTGATGAGCATCCTGCAGAGCTGGTGGGGTTTTGTGGCACCAGCTGTCTGGCCAGGGGGCTGCTGTAGGGCAGGAGCATGTCCTGACTGAGGCTCTGTGTGTGGCAGGACCAAGTGGTAAAAGAGGACAGCGTGGAAGCTGTTGGGGAGCAGCTGAAGGTCTATCACCAGCAGTACCAGGACAAGAGCTGGGAGTACGACTTGCTCTACGAGGAGTACACGCGCACTTCCCAGGTACGCAGGTGTCACCTTCCCCTTGGGCTGCCCTGACACCCCCTGATCACCGGCAGCCCCCCTGCGGCACAAAGGGGAGCAGAGATCAGGCACCGCCTACGCATTTTGTCCTCTCCTGGACTTGAGGAGACTCCTCAGAGAAAACACTTTGAAGAGGGAGATATTTTGGCTGCAGCAGGAACAGTGCTGCTTTGGGGAGTGGGGTGTGAATGGCAAGAAACCTGCCCAAATGCTCCCACTTCCTCAGCTCTCCCCTCCCTTTTCAGGAGCTGCAGATGAAGAGGACGGCAATCGAAGCCTTCAACGAGACGATCAAGATCTTTGAAGAGCAGTGTCAGACGCAGGAGAAGTGCAGCAAGGAGTACATCGAGCGCTTCCGCCGGGAGGGTAACGAGAAGGAGGTGCAACGGTGAGGATGGCTGGTGGTGGTGACCTGCCCTGCCCAGGCAAGGGCCCCGGGGCGGGGAAGGATCATCCTGGCCCAGCTCAGAGCCCAGGCACGCACAGTCCGTGTCTCTCCAGCAGTGCTGCTGCGGGCTGGAGCTGGCAGGCTGCCTCCTCTACCTCCTGCGCCCTGGCTCCCAGCCTGAACTCCCCCTTCTTTCTCCCAGGATCCTCATGAATTCGGAGAAGCTCAAGTCTCGCATCACGGAAATCCACGACAGCAAGATGAAGCTGGAGCAGGACCTGAAGAAACAAGCCTCGGAGAACCGGGAGATCGACAAACGCATGAACAGCCTCAAGCCAGACCTCATGCAGCTGCGCAAACTGCGGGACCAGTATTTGGTGTACGTAGCGCCTGCCCCCGCAGAGAGCTGGGAGTGGGGCCCTGCTGCCCCTCAGCCTGGCCCGGGAGCAATGCAGCTGGTTCCTGGAGGGCTTTGGGGCTTGTGGAACCGGCTTGTGGGTTGCTGGGTGCAGGCGTGAGCCCCGCGGCGTGCAGCCAGGGGACACGACGGACCCTCAGAGGCGACGGCTGCTGCCCTCTGGCGATGGCTGCGCAAGATGTGTCTGGCCCAGATCGGCACTGAGCTCTGCCTCTCCTTCCCCAGGTGGCTGACGCAGAAAGGTGCCCGGCAGAAGAAAATCAACGAGTGGTTGGGCATCAAGAACGAGACGGAGGAG